GAGCCGAACATCAGCCGAGCCCGGGGGCTCCATCTTGTTCGGCTAATTTACACCCCTAACTATCTCATATTTTTTTTTTAAGAAAATCATATAAAATAATACCATTGCAATTCTGCGATGACAATCATCCGAATTGTTCACTCAAATTTATGGTAGTTTCTCACAAAATTATCAATCTGTCAAGTCTAGAAACATGTGATTTTTTTCTGCGATGGTAAAGAACTTGAATATAAAGCGAAATTTTAAATAAAAAACGTAAATCAAGAATAGTAATAAAGCCAACCTGTCAGACAGAGCTGCTTTACAGCATGCTGGATGCCATTTACTGTGGCGCTGATTTGCAATGGCAGCTAGCGCCGCGGATTTTAGCCAAAAAGATCCCAACGGAAAGACTACGTATATCCACCAGACCATCATTTTCAACCAATTTCTTCTCTTTTTTTTTTTTAAACGAAAAATTCATCCAGCACAAATATGCAGAAATCAAGCATGGCGCATATTCGCAACCGCCGGAAAGTTCGCCGGCGTTCTTGTCTGATGTCGGAGACTATCCTACGGAGGTCCCATTCTCCGATGGCGAACCTTTCCCGTCGCCTTCAGCACCCGATGGCTCCACATTCCTGCGTTTATATCTAAAGAAAACCTAATTTCAACAAGAAACTGAGATCTATTTATTAATCAAATGATCGAACGACATTCTACCTTTGCGATTCGCCGGTCTCGAGAATCCACCGAAACTCGACAAATCTAATGAGTCGCAGATCGATGTGAGAATGTGCAAAGATGCAAGTAAACAGATACAAAGGCGCGATCACGAATTACCTTCGGCAGAGGGTTCGCGGGAGAATATGTATAGAATCGTGAAGCAGAGGAGGATGAGGATGGGGACGAGGTGGATGGATCTCCCGGATTTCGAAAGCGGACGGATCGGCTTCTCCATCTTGGTATCTTCCGCGGAAATGGATGCCGGCGAATCTGACGCGGGAGAGGATCCAGCCTTCCGCTTCTCTTCTGTTTTGAGGATCCTTGCATCGCCATGGATTTCGAGTTTGGAGCTCGGCGATCCCAGTGATTGCCTCTGCATTTCTCAAGCCGAGGGGAGGAAGAGTGATGGAGATGGAGAGCGGAGCCTGACAGCTGTGATTTCTCGGCCCCGAGTGAGACGAAGCGTCATACAAAGGACAATTTCTTTTTTTTTAATTTTTATTTGTTAATTTTAGCATGAAATATTCTGGTGATTAATAGAATTTGTATTTGGGTGAGCTGAATTGGCAGCTGATGAGCTGTTAATCATTTATTGACATTTTGACGTTCGATAATATTTTAAGAACGGCAAGATACTCCTAATAAAAACATAATATATATAGCTTACGTAAATTATTGTGTAATTATAAATTTAAAAATATATGTATTCAATTTTAAATAAATTAATATTAAGGTTATGTATTGTTGCAGTTAGTTAAATATTGTTATATTTTATTCAATTTCAGTTCTTCTAAATATTTGATTTTCTCGATGTGAACTACAAATAGGGGTGCAAACGAGCTGAGCACGACCTGTCTCAGCTCGTGTTTGGCTCGTTTATATTTCAAGCTAAAAAAGTGTATTCATTTTTGGCTCATTTCTTTAGCGAGTCGAACTCGAGCTATTCACGAACAAAAAGTCGTTTTGACAACCCTAATCACGTAGCCATAAGATGTTAAGAAATGAGAAAAGATTTAAAAATTATTGTTTATATTAAAACATCATGTCAATCTAATTTAATAATTTTTATTCAATTTTCTTTATTAATACTTTTAATTGATTATAAATCTTTGTAGACTTGTAGTTAATTAATTTTTTTAAAAATACTACTCATTAATATATATACTTGATGAGTAGTATTTCAAGTCAAAACGAGCCGGACACGAACACACAAATCTTTGTTCATATTCGACTCGTTAACTTAGCGAACGAGCGGAACAGGAGCTTCTTAACGAGCCGAACACGAGCTGTTAGCGAACAACGAGCAGTTTTGACAGCCCTAACTACAAAACAAAGTAATTTAACCTTATCGCAAAATTTAGTTTTATATTACAGAATATATGTTCCAAGAATATGTAACAGCTTAATACTGGCAAAAAATTTAATAAAAAAAATTGATTATGAGTGGTTGGGTTTTTTTTTTTTTTGTGATTTATTTTGTATGCTTTAATGCTGAATAGGTCTGTGGAAGTATAAAGCGACTAATGGGGATGGTTCAAAAGGGAAAATCAAGCTTCAGCTGAAAGTTATAAGGAGAATGCGTGGGAGATGCATTGAAAATAATAATGTTGGTCCCGCATTAGTGAGCTCATACAATTGGGGGGAAACACATGTAAGAGGAACTAGGAAGAGGGTAATGGCCCCCCCTTGTTTTAGAGAGGTAGCACTATTACCCATTCACTGATAAGAATATTTAAATTACAAACTATACAATACAAAGCCTGTCCAAACTGTCTTATCGAAAAGGTCGGTGATGTGGGAGTCATGGGGCACATAAATGGACACAGGCATGTGCCCGACCTTTCATGTATATTTTCACTTTGGTGATTAGATGATCTTGACGAACTTTTGCTAAAAGATCGATAGGTCACCTCAACAGATCAGTCTGGCAGGTGATACTTGACTCATAACACTTTGACTAGCAAGGTCTGCAATTACCTTGGTAAGCCAGCTCGACAACTGATGGGTGTTAGCTGTCACTTCAGCATCCAGTATAAGAGTTGTGTTATGAAAAAGTTGGGCTCTTTCTAGGCCCATGGGGTTTGCTAGAGTATGCATTGGCTCAAAAATAGGTCACTTATTTGTTTATTGATAAGGATGCAAGATGACTATAATTGCCTTGTAGCGTCACCAAAAAGTTTTAATTTAATCACATGGAAATCTCACCAGAGGACTTTAAAAGTGGTGAAGATCATCAAATTAAACTTCGAAGAACTTGAATATAGGTATAATTAATTTTATTATGTTATAAATCAAATACTGTTACATGGAATTTACTTATGTAGTAAAAGTTGATGACTAAAGGTGGGAATGAATGACTAAAGCTTATAAAGAAGGCCTTAGGCCTATTGAAATCCATCAAATATATCAATGAAATATGTGATATACCATAACATTAAGGAAATATGAAACACTTATAAAAATGGAAATGATATATATATAATATTATAAACTTTCACCCTACTTAATGTAAAAAGAAGATGGTCCCTATTGCATCATATGTATATATTTTTTTATAAAGTGGAAGGGGATAAACAAATCTATCATAAAAGGCAGGCTGAATTTAAGTATTTATATGGTGTGCCCAAACAAAGGTAGATATACACACTTACATCTTAAATAAGACTTATCTTCCTCGATTTTGATCATTTCATTTATGATTTTTCAAGGAGGCCGACCATGATAATAAGGAATGTAGATCA